ATTCATTCATTCATTCATTCATTCATTCATTCATTCATTTATTTATTTATTTATTTATTTATTTATTTATTTATTTTGTTCCTCAGAATCTTCTGGAAGTCAGGATGCTCAGGAGAAATCTGATCATTCATCGTCCTCCACCCAGCCTGCTGAGAGATCCCTACCTCAAGCGAAGTCCACCCAGGACAGGACCTCCTCGGTCCCAAAACCCACTCAGGAGAAGCCCCGGCCTGCATCTCGACCAACAATAGGAACACAGCTGAAACTGGGCTGCAAGAACTCCATGACGTCCCCCACAAGCAGCCCCACGCTTCCCGCTCCGGTTCAGAGAAAGAGCAGCTCGGCTCAGCCTCCAAAACCAGTCAGGACCCTCCATCCCTCCCTGTACCCCTCCACCTACGGGAAGGTCCTGACTGTGGACCTGTACAGTGAACCCAACCTCAGCTCGTACAGCAGCCAGCGCACTGTCAGTCCCAGCACCAGCAGGCCCGTGTCTAGGCCCGGTATGAGCGGATCATCTGGTCCACCCAAACCATCAGCCACATCCACCCCCAGACCTACTTCATCACCCAAAGCTAAGCCCTCCTCAGACCATCGGCACAGCTCCGGGCTCCTCCCCAGCCCCATCTCCAGAATGTCATCAGGCAGCTCCTCTCTGACCTCCAGATCATCGTCTTCTCTGTCCCCCACCTCCATCTCCAAGCCCAAACTGAAGATCCCATCGGCGGTGTCCTCCAGAACCATTCCCAGACCTAAGCCCAGCTCTGGACAAACTGATCTCAGCTCCGCAGTGAGGCGGAAGTCCCTGCCCGCTGAGCCGCTCGTCAAACTCGATCATGAAGGCGTCACCTCCCCGAAGACCAAGAAGACCAAAGCTTTGATGCTGTTGGAGGGGCGGGGCATCAGGCGAGACAACAGTCCTGCAGCCAATCAGAAGCTGCTGAAGACCAAACTGGGTGCTCCGGAGAGAGAGACCGGACTGCCTGACAAGGAGACCTCCTATAAGTCGTCCATGCTGGCTAAGGACAAGGTGGACAACTGTGGGAGAGGACAGGAGAAGGACAGGAGAGACGAGAAAGTTAAAAAAGAGGAAAGAAAGGAGTTGGAGAAGAGAGAGGAGAGGCGGATGAAAGAGGAGTCTCAGAGCAGCAGCAGCTCCGAGTCGGAGGAGGAAACTGAAAACGGGAAGATCAAGAAGAAGAAATGCACCTCGAGCTGCTCCTCCTCCTCTTCATCCTGCTCTGGTTCCTCCTCATCCTCATCTTCATCATCATCCTCTTCATCAACTGATGACTCCTCCTGCAGTTCAGACGAAGAGAGGACCCCGACACCTCCGCCAGCCCCCATCCCAAAACCTCCAGTGCAAGAAAAGCCTAATGAAAAGGTAAAGGAGGAGGAAGAGGAGGTGAAGGAGGAAGAGGAGGTGGAAGTCAAAGTGGAGGAGGAAGAGTTGTCTCCTCAGTCAGATTCCCCTCCATCGACCCCTCCAGCTCCAGATTCTCCTGCTCCCACTAAACCTGCCAAACCCACCACCGGGAAGGGCTCCGGGCAGAGGGGCCGTCCTCCCAAACCAAAGCCCAGTGGAGGAGAMGGGAAGGTGGGGAGACCCAAACGGAGAGAGGGGGTCCACCTTCCAACCACCAAGGAGTTGGCTAAACGCCAGAGGCTTCCCAGTGTGGAGAACAGGCCCAAAATTTCTGCTTTCCTTCCAGCCAGGCAGCTCTGGAAATGGTTTGGGAAACCCACTCAGGTGAGAAGAAAAACCTTAAAAACAAAAAAAAGAAAAAAAATCCACCCGTCTGCTTCCATCTGAACACAACTTTACCCCCTCCAGAGACGCGGCATGAAGGGCAAGGCCAAGAAACTCTTCTACAAGGCCATCGTGCGTGGCCGAGAGATGATCCGCATCGGAGACTGCGCTGTGTTTCTGTCCGCCGGACGGCCAAACCTGCCCTTCATCGGCCGCATCCAGAGCATGTGGGAGTCCTGGGGCAGCAACATGGTGGTCCGGGTCAACTGGTTCTACCACCCAGAGGAAACCAACCCTGGCAAGAAGCTCACCGACAAGAAGGCAGGAGTCAAATAGTACCTTTGATATTTGAGTGGCAGGTTGAGCAAAGTGTTGGTATTTAAAGCCTTTCTGATGTTTTGTCCTCAGAACTGGGACCAGATGTGTGGCCAGTCTTTACCAGCTGCTCTTCACTCCTCCATCCAGAGGAAGGACTTCATAGAGGTGAGGAAAATCAATCAATGAAATACTAAAAACACCTGATAGACAAAGATCACGTCACTCTTTTTCTGAAAAAGTATTGTAGTTCTCTTTGTCAAACATTGACTCATATCTGTTTGTCTATTGTTTGTTTATTTTTCTTTATTCGAGGCACATTTCCTTCAGTTTTTCTGACATTTCGTCTGCCTTTATTTCTGTTTCACCTCCTTCGTYCTCGCTCTGAAGGTTACAGACAGCTGCCTGCAAACATCGCTCCGCTGAAAGTGTTCTTGAAAGACTTTTATTACCATTTTTTATTGTTTCGGCTGACAGCTCTTTTTGTTGGGTTCGTGTTTCCTGCAACAGCTCATTGGGTTCTCCAAGGACTCACTTTTAACAACAGACTTGTGTTTATTACATTGAAACTTGTGCCAGTATTAGTTGTAGACAAAAGGTCATTCTTTATTATTTGTCCTCTACTTGATCTTAATATTTCCATTAAGCACAAACACTTTTAATTATTTTTAAAGAGTGAATGCTCAGCTATTAATGAAACTGTTTTGTGTCATTTTCCTTTTCTTACAAGATAAAATGTGTATCTGAGGGTTTTTGTCCAGAGTTAAGGGCTCGACACACGGGAGGCGACGTCGCTCGCTCTCCATTCATTTCCTATGGAGCCTGTGCG